GTAATGCATAAATGCATTTGTTTCTGACAGGGATTCAATTAATGCATAACGTTCATTAATTATGATCGCAATTAAGCTGATATGAGAAAGTATAGGTAATGTTTTTAATGATATATGGCATTCCCATTTTCATAATTGACAGAGAAAGTGAGAGTTTTATTCAGATGTCTCTTAGTTTGAATTTATTTTTGAAATTAAATTACGATGAATTACTAAATATATAGCATTTCTGTTTTAATCAAATTGAAAGCTCTGTATTAAAAAATGTATTTTGCACGCGTATTAAGTCGCACTGACAAAAAAAAATTATGGTCAAAACTACCAGAATATGGTAAAATTTACTATGTTTCTGGTTTTATTGTGTTCTATATAAAAGGATATATTTAAAATTCGATCTCGAAAAATTTCATACTTTACAATTCAAAATTGTTTTTACTATTATTAAACATTATTGTATTAACTATTATTACTGCTATTATTAAAAAATGATACAAATTTACTAAATGTTATATTTTGAATGGGATTGTCAAATACGCTTAAGACAAAAATATTATCTCGCAGTATTTTCACAAGTTTAAAAATGTGAAATATGAAAATATTTATAAATAAACTACTATAAACTTTCATGGCTAGTAAGATATAACATAAATGTTTAAAAATCAAAATAGTTAAACTTTAGTGCAATGTTATTTTTAATAACGTCAACTGGCTAATGCATCACTGACAAATTTACAAACCACATTTCGTTGCATCTCAAATAAAGTGAGCAGATACATATTAAGCCTGGAAACTTTGCTTTAGAGGAGACAAGAATGATTGAGCTGATTTAGAGGGCTATATCCAAGAGGAACTTATTTCGTATCTATTATAATAATCTGAGAATTTAATAATTTTGTAAGTCCAAAAGTAGTTTTTCACGCTTATCAAATAACCGTTTGAAAAAAATCTTATCGCACAATATTTTCACTAAAATGTTGAATATAAAAATATCTAAAAGTAAACTACCATAAAGTTTCATAGCTACTAAGATATAACATAAATGTTTAAAAATCAAAATAGTTAAACTTTAGTGCAATGCTATTTTTAATAACGTCAACTGGCTAATGCATCACTGACAAATTTACAAACCACATTTCGTTGCATCTCAAATAAAGTGAGCAGATACATATTAAGCCTGGAAACTTTGCTTTAGAGGAGACAAGAATGATTGAGCTGATTTAGAGGGCTATATCCAAGAGGAACTTATTTCGCATCTATTATAATAATCTGAGAATATAATAATTTTGTAAGTCCAAAAGTAGTTTTTCCGCTTATCAAATACCCGTTTGAAAAAAATCTTATCTCGCAATATTTTCACAAAAATGTGAAATATTAAAATATCTAAAAGTAAACTACCATAAAGTTTCATAGCTAGTAAGATACAATATAAATGTTTCAAAATCAAAATAGTTAAACTTTACTACATTGATATTTTTACGACGTCAACTGGTTAATGCATCTCTGACAAATTTACAAACCACATTTCGTTGCATCTCAAATAAAGTGAGCAGATACAATAATGCCTGGAAACTTCGCTTTAGAGGAGACAGGAATGATTGAGCTAATTTAGAGGGCTATATCCAAGAGAAACTGATTTCATGTCAGTTATAATAATCTGAGAATATAATAATTTTGAAAGTCCAAAAGTAGTTTTTCCGCTTATCAAATACCCGTTTGAAAAAAATCTTATCTCGCAATATTTTCACAAAAATGTGAAATATTAAAATATCTAAAAGTAAACTACCATAAAGTTTCATAGCTAGTAAGATACAATATAAATGTTTAAAAATCAAAATAGTTAAACTTAACTACGATATTTTTACGACGTCAACTGGTTACTGCATCTCTGACAAATTTACAAACCACATTTCGTTGCATCTCAAATAAAGTGAGCAGATACAATAATGCCTGGAAACTTCGCTTTAGAGGAGACAGGAATGATTGAGCTAATTTAGAGGGCTATATCCAAGAGAAATTGATTCCCATCAATGAAGTACTCAAGGGGGAAAGCCAAAATTATGAGTTAACAGCTCTTCGCTACTAACGTTAATGTCGATTCTCGGGGTTTGACTTCTGTGATTTTGAAACTTGCATCATCAAGTATTATGAAGGAAGTGAAATTACAGCAATAAACATTAAACTCGGACCATAAATAAATACGAAGCTGCTGCAAAGTGAGCAGTTTAATATTTTTAGATGCAATAAACATGGTGACATTTATTTAAATGTGATTATAAATATATATAAATGTAAATAATTGATTTTAAAACAAGTAGTAAAAATAAAATTTGTCATAAAGTTTATCACAAGAACATAGGTTTCGGTGATGTAGAAATTATAAATGCAATGATGTGATTGGCGCTTTTGAGCCCTTTTCATTAGTTTTGGAGCAAATAAGACGCAACATATTTTGATTTCTTAAAGCAATAAGAATCTTGTTAAAAATAATATTCCACCTATAATTGTAATTAAAAATAAATTTTTAAAAAAATCACTAATTCAACAATATTAAATTATTAACACGTTGAGTGCCACGCTAATTTTACATGACTTGCAATTCTGGCCAAACGGTACATAACTACAAACTAAATTTGCAAATATTAGACAGATTTTGCTAGTTTTTTAAAAGGTTTAGCATGATATATCTAAAAAAAGTGGTGAATTATATAAATCTAAGAACAGTTTGGAAATAGTTGTGGATAAAAATCTACTAAATTGAATTTATTAAACCAAGAATCACAATTAATAAACAACCACTTGAAAATATTCATTTGATGTTCGGATCAAGTTGGCATCTCTGTGTATATAAATAAAACTATTTTTGTGTGTTCTATATTGCATTAATTTCTTCAAGTCATTTTAGTAACGATAACAATTTATTCGAATTATGTGTTTCTAATAATCTTGGCTTCGCCGGTCACCGGTGACCCCCGTGGTGCTACGAACAAACTCAGTGCCGATCACCAGTGAACCGCATGGCATTCAACGTGTTAACAGAATTAATTATTAACTTACAAGCTTTTTTTTAAACAGAAATTAGTTATAATGAAGATATATCTATTTTGCGGAGGGAAAAAATATGTACTGTGGTCTAGCTAAAATGTTGAGTTGAGACATTTAATGACAGAAGTCACGTTTGAGCAAATAAGTTTAAACATTTTATGAGTCCTTTAAAAGCATTTTTAACCTTAAACTTGTTATCGTCTCAACAAGTGTAACGTTGTATAAACATTTATTTAAATGCAATTATAAAAATATAGATAAATATCAGCAATTGGTTTTAAAATGAGCAGTTGAAATAAAATTTATCATTAGGCGTAGCACAAGAACATAGGTTTCGATGACGTTGAAATTATCTATACAATGATGTGATTGATGCTTTCGAGCCATTTTCATTAGTTTTAGAGCTATAAGATGTAACATATTTAGCATTTTTGAAGCAATAGAAATATCTAGGAACGAAATATTATTCTATCTATAATTGTAATTAAAATTCAATTTTTTAATAGCTTCCATAATTTAATAATAATATTTTAAATTATCGGTTGTCCATCTGTTTTTTAAAAATAGAAATTACTTAAAATAAGATTAGATCTATTTTGTGAAAAAAATCACATTTGTATAAGTAAGTTTAAAATATTTTATGAATCCCTTAAAGGCATTTTAAAGGTTATACTTGTTAGCATTTTATTCCGTTTCATCTAATTTGAAGGACTATTGTTTTGTTTGTATAAATGATGACTTCGTAAAAAATATTTTTTTTTTAAATTAGAATATTTTCACTATATTTCAAAAAAGTCGATCGATGTTGGATCATGGAAGTTGAACACCATATATACCCGTGTAATAAAATGGTGACTGATGCACGTTAAATCTGTCGAGTCGCAAAATTCCTCCATGTTTCCATAACGAATCAAAACCTCTGGGGGTACTGAATTGGAGATCGATCGTTCTCTGATTCAGGTCAAAATTACGGTCTATGGATGAATGAATTGATGTATGAATGGGTCCGCCCTATAAATGGGCGTGACGTATGGGTGTAGCAGAAGTCGTGTTCTTGGCCATAGATCGCCCACTGGAAAATAAGAACAATCGCCCCCTCTGCCTTAACAGGCATACGAAAGAGAGAGAGACTTATCCCATTGGCGCAGAATTTTCATTCAAAATTTTTTTTAATCGTTTTGTATTAATTTTAGGTCAAAATAGGTGAAAAATATCATATTTAGCATTTTATTTAGCATACGGTTATGAAATACATTTTTGAGTTAAAGGTAAAATCTTCCAAACATGGCTAATTTCCAAACAATTTTTCAAATTTGCACTCATTTGCAGTTATTTAGATGTAAGAGAAACAGTAATTCATCATTGAAATTTCTTTAATTTACTAAATTAGTTATTGATAAATTTTTGAACATGAATTTTAAAAAACTTCAAATTACTTTTTTTGGATTTTGGATTCAAATATAATTATGATTATCTAACAGATCTTTTAGTAACTCTTAGACTGTTTCAAACAATAAAAAAATCCCAAAATATATTTTTGCTTGTAAACAGAGTGTCAGAAACCAGAAAAATATATAAAAGGACACCGGTGTTCCATTTGCGTCAAAGGGTTAAATCACCTAAAATAATATAAACCTATTTTTTAAGCAATTTCCGAAATATTTAATAGAATTGCGTCTTTTATAAAACAAAAATTATTTTCAGTCTAGTTTTTTTCTAAACTTTTAAGTCTGTATAAGATTTAAAATTTTAAATAATGTTTACGATTCCGGTTCAATGTGTAGTAATTAATTACATTTTCTTCTATAAAAATGCTAATACCTGTTAACTATTTTGTCAATTAATGCATGCTATGATGTTAAAAATGCATACAATTTATTACATAATTACGACATTTATGACATTTATTCCTAATCAACAATAGTTATGATTAAAGGTTCAAAACAACAGTCTCTTACCTTCGAAAGAGCTACGTATTCAAATTTATCAAATGCTAGTTCGCTTTCTTCTCCGGTCTGCCCTTTCTTCTGACCCCTTAGGATCCGCGATGTGGTCACAGTTGTCATTCCCATTCCATCTCCAATAAAAAGAATGAGATTTTTAGCCACATTGTAATTTCGGTCATCATCTAAGTTTCTTAAGAGCTGGGACTTTGCTTGCTGGTACCAAAACCATCGATCTAAAAAAGAAATATTTCTTTTCATTTATTTTAATGTACACTGTTAGAAATTTCTCGAAAAAAAATGGTTAAATAACAATATATTGAATGGTTATTTTACCATATTTAATCAAAACAATCAAATAACCGTAAATAAAATGGTAATCAAACTGCTTTCACCTAATACGGTTAAATAACCAGAATTTTATCGCTCGAACTAGAACCACCGCATGAAGCTACTTAGTTCTTTGCAACTGCGTACAGATCATAGCCGAGTGGGCTATGATATGTACGCAGCTTATCATAGCTTACTGTCAGTCTCATGACCGGCAGAATTGAAGTTCGAGTCCTAGTGTTGACACCACAATATTTCCTCCATTCCCTTCAACACATAAAGAATTTCCAGTGTCCGGCACTCTCCAATGCCCATTACCTTACGAAGAGTCGAGCTCCTATGTCTAGTTAAGTAATAAATTTTTTTATTCGTTTTAGAAAAATGCTAGTTATAAATGGTTAAAAAACCGTATAGTTTTGTATTTATGGCTTTATAACCATACTTTTTGTAAATGGTTTCAAAATCATAAAGGTAAAAAATTTTCTTTACCGTAAACTTTACGGTTAATGGGATGGACAGAAACTGCCAGGTAATTTACCGTAATTTTACAATGAAAATTCTAACAGTGTACAATAAACTTTTAAATTAGCGATAAAACTAAGCACAAAATTTTGAATTATAAATATCAATCAAATGAAATTTTCTTATAAACGATACAAACTAAAGAGATTTTATGAAACACGTTTATGAAATGCGACATTGAGAAGAAAAAAAAAGGTCAAAACTACCAGAATATGGTATAATTTACCATGTTACTGGCTAAATGGAAACACCAATAAGCCCGGCAATTTTTACCGAAGCGATTTGTTAATGATTTCGGTGAAAATAACAATTAAATATGATTTTATAATATGTGAGCAACTTTGGTAACTTGATTATGATAACTTAGAGCACGACATAAAAACCATTTATTCGATTAAATTTATTTTTCAGTTTTGTATTTTTCAATGAATGAGTGATAAAGAAATATAATTTTGAAAACCAGAATTACCGGTAAACAGCAACCATATGAACCGAAAAATGGCCAAATGAATGTTTTAATTACCGATTATTTTGGTTTTATTAACCCGAATTATGCTTTTTACCAGGAAAAAAAACCCATACAATGCAGGTAGTTTCATCAAACTATTTTTGTCTGTGTAGTTTTTAAATAGTGATAGCAACCAATTGCTAGTTTTTGATTACAGGTTCAACAAAATCAAATACTTTAGCTATACAATTTAAGTGAAATCTATTGATCAACCCTATGATTTAAATGAAATCTATTGATCAACCCTATGATTTAAATGGAATCTATTGATCAACCCTATGATTTAAATGAAATCTATCGATCCACCCTATGATTTAAATGAAATAAGTGATCAACCCTATGATTTAAATGAAATCTATTGATCAACCCTATGATTTAAATGAAATCTGTTGATCAACTTTATGACTTAAATGAAATCTATTGATCGGGCCTACGATTTAAATGAAATCTATTCAACCCTATGATTTAAACTAAATCTATTGATGACGATATTAAATGAAACATTTTTTATTATCAGCGATGCACTTGAAACTAAAGCTTTAAATTATAGAGATACATATCAAAAGAAAATTTCTGATAATATATAAAAATATAATGTTAGTTCACAAATTTATGTAAAAAATTAGAAAACTATAGCTTTCTTTGGGAATGTGCTTTATATTTTTCAACTGAATGCTAAAATGTTTAGGATGCATTTTTAAAATTTAATTTAGGATTTATAATTTAAAGAACTAATTATTTAAATTAGAAAATTTCCTTAATTGTTATTTAAGCTGATAATTTAAATGACTAATAATTCTGAACAAGCAATAAAACATACAATAAAGTAAACATCAGTTGTATTATTATACAATGTAATGCTAGCTATTGTGACTAAAAACAAAAGGAGTTGACAACTTAAGTGATCAAGAAATTTAAACGTAGAAAAATTGTTTCCGCTCTCAAAGTTTTCAAAACTCTTAAAATTCAAGACATTTTTTAACACTCGTCGTAATCCAACTGTAAAATTTTTAAAGAATATTTCTAAAGGATAAATTTCTAAAAACAAGCTATGGTGAAATTTGACCAATGATTCCAAAAAAAAGATAAGAAAATCCGTTTTAAAGTTAATATCTATGTTTGTTTAGGAAATATTTTAGAAACAAAAAAAAAATGCCAAATTTTACTATCACATGTATTGATCTAAACATCACAAAATGAAAATAATTCTCCTGAATTTAACTTCTTTACACAATTGTGTTTTTGTTTCACCAATAATATTGAAATTCAACCAGTTCTTAGATAAACAATGAAATTTTACTATTAAAATATCTCTTAAAATCTCCTTAACATTAAATATGACAATTTCTAAACAATATATCCGAACGAAAACTTAAACACTTAAAATATGAAACACATTTTGTTTTCAACGATGAGTAATTTGCAATCTTACTTCAAGCTTTTTAAGCAACAATAACCCAGAGAACATTCCGTAGAATTAAAATACGTAGAATAATTGACTTATACATAAATAACACCTTAAGCTAGCTTAACTTTCCTTCAATTCTGTATAGGCCTGTCTTTTTCAATTGTTATATTTTAAGCAAACTTAAGAAGCCAGGATTATAAAGTTATAAAAATTTAAAGTTATATTCTTACCTTTTATATTCTATAACTGAGCAATTTTCATATTTGAAATAGAGGATAATTTCAGAAGATATAAAAGATAATTTCAATAATCTAAAAGTTATTATCAACTGCTATAGTCTTAGAAAAATTATAAAAACTGCATAATATTTACTAAATCGAGTTATTTCTTAAAATGACAGAGTCTTCAAAGAAGATCCATAAACTTGTAATTCAGAGTATTATTAAATAGATACTAAGCAATGTATATCTTTAATTTCTTCAATCATGCTATAACACTATTTATGTTAAGAAAAACTTTTCTTTCAAAATTATGTTTTTTTTAAACACAAACGTGTTAAATAAGAATTTTTATTAAAATGTTAAAAGAATTAAATTTGTCAGAAAAAACTAATAATGTGCTTGAAGCTGGTATTTTCATTTAAAAATTGCTTGAATTCTATGATATTTTATTTTTGTTGCTATAAATATAACTATGTGTTTTAACTAAATATATTTAAACGAACATCTTCAAAATTTTTAAACTATTCAGAAACTATTCTAAATTTTTGAACAAAACTACTTATCAAGGAATATCTAAATATACACAATCAATCGTTTATTAAAAAAGATAAAGCATTATTAATTAAGCCTAAGATTTGATTTTTTTTGCAAACTGTTATTATGAATAAATATAATAAAAAAACCTATAGGATCAGTTATGCTGTAAGATAGGACGAATTTAAATATTAAAAAAAAATGCAGCTCCATTCCGTTTTAATTAAAACTATCTTGCATAAAATAAAAACAATAAAAAATACACTGAATTCAAAATAGAATTTTTCAAAACAAGAAAAAAAAACTTCCCCAAGTATAAATCAAAGCAGAGACAATAACGATAAAAAAAATAAATTCTATTCTCCGATGAAACGTTTCTCCGAAGTGTTGCCATCCAAACAAGTAAAATCTCAGAATACAAAAGATTTAAAACAAAATGCAAACGATAGAAAACTCTCTTGGGAAAACAGCGAAGGCAACGTGTTGGAAGGGGATACAATTCTATCCAACCAAAGGAGCTCTGCGGAAAAGAAAAGTGAATAACTTTTTTGCCAAAATGGAAACAACTTACAATGGAAATATGCTGTTTCGTAAACAATCGGGATCAACATGTCAGCTCAGAAATTGGAAGGAAAAAAAAAATTTTTTTTTGAAGTCCTAAAATACAAAGAGAGTTTTATTGTGCGAAAACAAACATATTCTAACATTCGAAAAGATTTTTTTTAATTAAACGGATGTTTATGCATTATCTTCTTTGACTAATCAATACATTCAGCATTTAAACACGCTTTTTAAAATGGTACTTTTAAACCACATTAGAGTATTCATGGGATATTTATTTTGTCAAAGTGTACCGTTTTTTATAAATTTGTCATAAATGTCATTTAAAGGAGATACTTTTTGTATTTAATTGCAGAACTCAACTGAGTAACATATTTAAAAGCTTGCCGTTTGAACCATTAAGTTATAATGTAAGTACGTAGAAATGTAATTATAAGTAAAAAGTTATTAAGTATAAATTTTTTGCTCAAGGTGTCATAATTTGTCCAAATTTAATTAGTTTAGGAGTAAGTAAATATTTTATATTCACTGTTTTCGGATTTTTCGATGCAAAAATAAAACTAATTGTTGTAAATTTAAATGCAGTGCTGCTAGTAACAATATATTAGATAGAGGGATACTGTCAATGTAATTATATCGATTGGGTACTTGCAACTCGAGAAGAAGTAATTATGCCTAACCATGTGATTTATTTGGATACCTGTAACTGACGTCACACGTGTGTATTAAATCTGATTGACTTCGCAATCGACGAATGCCACGATTTACCCTACGATGACCTTACTTGTAGGTATCCAATTGAGGAATAATTACAACAAATATGCCTTTGTGCTTTTTTCGCCCAACAAAAATTTGTGTTGGTATATTTTGTGATAAGTTAATATTTATAATCAATCCTTTATAATTTAAATGTAGATTAAGTGATAAAGCACATTAGCTGGACTATTGAACTAGATGAAAATATAAAGAGCTCAAACCACCAAGCAGTTTCGATATTTGGTGAGCGATAGCGAACAAAAGGTAGAGCTCCTAGAGTAGCAAAATTAATTTACATATAATTCTCAGAAGGATAATATTTTGGCCAATCCTATAACAAAATAAAAAAATTCATCCCTAAAATGTTCCACACATAAATATACAAAACTGAAAAAA